ATATATATATAATATAATTAGTACTTTCTCAGGCATTGAATAAACTCTCTTAGGCTTAAGACTATCCAGGTTTGAGATAGAGAGATACATCCTATGGTCAGTACTTACTCAGGTTTGGAAGTAAGTTTCTTGAAGACTATAAAGTTGGATGGAAATATGTGTGCTTTTTGAACTTGATCTACTGAGTCTTGGAGCTTGAAGTTTATGTCAACATTCAAAGAAGATTCATTTATTTGGTAGAAGTTGAAGAAGCAGTTGTCTAGAGCAGAAAAATAGAGGATAGGGAAAATAAAAATAGATTTACTGATAAATTAGTTTGCCATAGGCACTGTACACCTATAATTTCCTTTTTAATTATGATTCTCCTAATGGAGCCATTTTGCAACAGGTAGCTAACAGGAGAGTCAGCAACCAGTTTTCCTCGTGAAACCTATTATTTCTTAAAGGAACCACAAGTTAAATGTGGTTAAAAGATTTGTTAATAAAAATTTCTAAAAAATTCTGGAAACTAGGCTGTTGTCAAGTGTGAATTTGATGGATAGATTTGTTATTTTCTGAAAGTGCACATATTAAAAAGTTTGTATGAAATTATTTTTAAATTTATAATAGTGTAAGATAGCTAAAAAACTACAATTAAAACAGTTATAGCTCAAAAATAGTTAAACAGTGAACTTAAAAGAAGGAAAGTAATGGATTTGGAAAACCAAAAGTGTGTCCTCACATTTTTGGAATGTCACACAGTAAATGAAAGTGAAGAGACTACTATCAAAATGAGTGAAGAAACAGTGCTACTAAAACTAGTGAAGATATTATTATCAGAAGGAGTGAAGAAACAGTGCTACTAAAACTAGTGAAGATATTATTATCAGAACGAGTGAAGAAACAGTGCTACTAAAACTAGTGAAGAGACTACTATCAGAATGAGTGAAGAAACAGTGCTACTAAAACTAGTGAAGATATTATTATCAGAACGAGTGAAGAAACAGTGCTATTAAAACTAGTGAAGAGACTATTATCAGAATGAGTGAAGAAACAGTGCTACTAAAACTAGTGAAGAGATTACTATCAGAACGTGTGAAGAAACAGTGCTACTAAAACTAGTGAGGAGGCTACTATCAGATCGAGTGAGGAAACAGTGCAACTAAAACTAGTGAAGAAACAGTGCTACTAAAACTAGTGAAGAGACTACTATTGGATCGAGTGAAGAAACAGTGCTACTAAAACTAGTGAAGAAACAGTGCTACTAAAACTAGTGAAGAAACTAGCACTACAACTTTCTGTTGTGCTGGCTCAGAAACTTGGGAACCACAGCTTGTAAATAAGATGAGCAGACAGAAAAATGAGAATATATGTGTACTTAATCTGGGTAATTCACTTAAAGATGTGTATTTAATCTGGATAATTCACTTAAAGATGTGTATTTGATCTGGATAATCCAGTTAAAGATGTGTATTTGATCTGGGTAATCCAGTTAAAGATGTGTGTTTGATTTTGGTAATCCAGTTAAAGATGTGTATTTGATCTGGATAATCCAGTTAAAGATGTGTACTTGATTTTGGTAATCCAGTTAAAGATGTGTATTTGATCTGGGTAATCCAGTTAAAAATGTGTATTTGATCTGGGTAATACAGTTAAAGATGTGTGTTTGATTTTGGTAATCCAGTTAAAGATGTGTGTTTGATTTTGGTAATCCAGTTAAAGATGTGTATTTGATCTGGATAATACAGTTAAAGATGTGTATTTGATCTGGGTAATCCAGTTAAAAATGTGTATTTGATCTGGGTAATCCAGTTAAAGATGTGTATTTGATCTGGATAATACAGTTAAAGATGTGTATTTAATCTGGGTAATCCAGTTAAAGATGTGTATTTGATCTGGGTAATTACTCTAAGACACTGTTTACTGGTTATTTTGGTTTTGGTTTCAGTTCCACTTTGATTGGGTTTATTTGTGACTTGGTGGAGCATTCCACAACCGTCCAGCAGCACATGGTTCAGAACAAAGGATTTCTTGTTATAAGTTATCTACTGCAAAAGGTAAAGCAGCTTATCAAACTTATCCTAAAGTATTTTTTCATTAAGAACCACTAATTTTTAAATTAATTACATTATTTATTGTTATTTTACTTGTGCAGCAAAATGTATTTATTGAAATCTCAAATGTCAAATTTTTAAGGAATGCTAATTTTATTCATTGTATAACATCCCTAAATTCTATCTCTAACAAATAATCTTGTCCTTAACCCTATAACAACACCATTTTTAAAACCCTTTCTGCACATGTTAGTGTGTTACATTCAAAATTTACTATCAAATTATTATTATTAAGTATGTTATAATTCAAAGTTTTATATTATCTAAGTTTTTATTCCTTTATTTCAGAAGAAACTTTCAAAACAATAATTAAACCTGCAGTTTTTACTGTCACATGATGCACTTGCTGTTACAAATCTCAATTTTAAGAGCTGGTATAGAAGAAACTTTGTGAACTATGTAGAGACAGAGTGCTAATAACTACATTAAATAATGAATAGTATTTTTATACTCAACATGAAAACCACCTTACAGATGAACTATGTAGAGACCAAGTGTAAATAT